CAAGAGTCCCCTCACTAGAACAAAAGACACTCTATCAACCAGGAAATTCCACAGGATTTAGGACCTCCAGAAACCATGACCAAATACCAAATACTAGAACCAAAGATCCTCCTTGTCTCTTTATGGTCCAGGAAGTTACAAGGTTTTTTAGGAGCTCTGTGCCAGGAACCAAGGGCACAAGATTAATATTTATTTATTAGTATACCACAAAATCACTATTCTAAAGGCTGCTCTGGCACAACCTAACCCAGTTTAAAAGCAAATTTCAAAAGTAATCAAACTATTTCCAAGTAACTTACCTATGTCCCACTATTAGAATAATGGGCTAGTCCTAAGCTGGGGAAATCACATTTTTTTCCATCCAGTAAAAAACAAACAAAAAAAAGTTATTTCTTCTGGTAATATAAGTAATACATGCTAAAAGAAGGTTTTCAACACCCTCTAAATCCTCTCATGAGTTAAAACTAGGCCACTGGGGTTGCTCTGGGAGGTCAGTCTGTTCTATTGCTACCTATTTCAGAACTCTGGATCTCTCTCTCTCTCTCTCTCTCTCTCTCTCTCTCTCTCTCTCTCTCTTTACTGGGAATTGAACTCAGGGGCACTTGGCCACTGAACCACATCCCCAGATGTATTTTGTATTTTATTTAGAGACAGGATCTCACTGAGTTGCTTAGTACCTTGCTGTTGCTGAGGCTGGCTTTGAACTCATGATCCTCCTGCCTCAGCCTCCCAAGCCACTGGGATTACAGGTGTGTGCCACCACACTGGCTTGGAGCTCTCTCTTTAAAGCAGGGATTTCTAACCTGTGGGCACAGACCTCAGGACACATCTCATTTAATGCTCAAAATCACCCTTGAGATAAAAGTAGAGTCATCCTTATTATTCAGATAAGGAAATTGGTGTTTAGAAATGTTTCTAAACTTCACCATAATCTCATAACTGGCATTTGTTTGGCCAGGATTCTTAAGATATACATGAAAAGTGTAGGGTCATTATCCTAGAGAGCGTGGTACCTTTCCGTGCATAGTTCTCAGGATAATAGGAGGCTTCATTTATGGACCTTTGCTGAGATTTCATGTAGCAATGACATAGCAACTCTGCCTGGTTCTTGAATCTTTTTTTTTCTTTCTTTCTTTTCTTTTCTTTTTTTTTAGAGAGAGAGAGAATTTTTTTTAATTTTTTTTTTTTTTTAGTTTTTGGTGGACACAACATCTTTTATTTTTATGTGGTGCTGAGGATCGAACCCAGCGCCCCGCGCATGCCAAGCAAGTGTGCTACCGCTTGAGCCACATCCCCAGCCCTTGGTTCTTGATCTTCATTGTTATTTTGAAAACAGATTTTAAGACTTTAGTTCTGAGTTACTCAGTAAAAAACTTTTATGATAACTAAAATAGACATACAAAAAGTTATACAATTAATTCTTTTCATGCCTTCCTGCAACCCAAGATTCAAATCATCTATGTGTATATTCTCTAGTGAGCTTCTTGGCACAGCAGAAAGTGTCTGTTTTGCTGACCTCTTAGTTGATACACTGATTTGGAGATGAGGCAGCTGCTTCCAGTAGTGTGGATTCCTAGTTCATGGAAATAGGACCTGTGTATATCAATAGTCTGCTATTGAGCAGGAGGATTCCTGCAAATGGATCAGACTTGGTGCCTTAGAGTTTGGATCCAATAGAGGAAAATAGGGCATGGAAGAAGACACTGCTGTTCCTGTCAATCCTTAGTACCTGTGACATGCTGAACCGCAAGGAGGAAATGACTCAGCCAGGCCTGAGAACGGAAATAAGAGACAAGAGGCAGGATGTTCCTAGCAACCTACTTTCTGCAAAACTCAACAAAGAGATGCACATAAATATTAGAAAGAATGTGATTGGTTAGCAAGGGAAAATCTGCTGAAATGCTTTTAGTCTATGGAAACTAAGTAAAATAATCCAAAATTTAAATGTATCATAGGATTAGTATTCTCACTTAACATCTTAACCTTTTATTATAGGGAATAGAACATACCTATGGTTAGGATGAATGTGGGATGAACTTGTTTTGAGAGTTTGTACTTATTGTGGGTAGATTAATTCCATTCTGCACTGGCTTTTTCCTGTTCCTCTAATGTATCAATCCCATTCTTAGCTCAGGGCCTTTGGACATGCTCCTCTGTCCAACTAGATAGATACCTCTTCTCTCCTGGCTCAGCTTTACGGGATTGATTTCTTCATGACGGTCAGGACTCAAGCAAATGCCATTTCATGCATCCTGTCTGAAGCAACACTCAGCCAGTCACTGTCTCATTCCACTGTTTTATAGTCTGTTCAGCAGTCATTGTGCTCTGATAACATCTTGTATTTTGTTCATCTATTTAGAGACTGGGACCTCCTACTGGAATATAAGTGCTGTGAGAGAAGAGCTTTTTCTGTTTAATTGGCTATTTTATTTCTACTGCCTAGAATAGGGCCTGGCTCATAGTGAATAAACAAATGAATGAATACATGAAATCACACACAATTCAAGAAAGGAAACCAGATCTTATACATCAGCTGAAACAATCTGTAACTAAAGTTTGGTTCCTAACCTGAAAATAAGGTTAGACTGTGTGTGTGTATATGTATAAATACACATTCCCCCTCTCTCTCTCTCTCTCTCTCTCTCTCTCTCACACACACACACACACACACACACACACACACACACATCTCTAAGCTTTTATATTAAGGTTTATGTTTTGTTTTGTTTTGTTTGGTACCAGGGATTGAACTCAGGGGCACTCAACCACTGAACCACATCGCCAGCCCTATTTTGTATTTTATTTAGAGACAGGATCTCACTGAGTTGCTTAGTACTTCACTGTTGCTGAGGCTGTCTTCAAACTCAGGATCCTCCTGCCTCAGCCTCCCAAGCCACTGGGATTACAGGTGTGCACCACTGTGCCTGGCTTTTACATTACATTTTAAATGATATTTACAAAGGGCTTAGTAAATGTTAGGAAAAAATTAATGAAAGATCATATTTATAAATTCTACTCTTGTTCCAGCTGAACTACATTGGTTGTCTATAGACTATACACTGAATCCATTTGTACATTGTAGTTGCCAAGAGGTTTTTTTAGTATACTTAGTAAGTTCAAAGTCCTTGCAAAATGGATGGAATTCAGGCTATGTCCTCCTTTCACCACTTCTCGGATCACACCCATGTTACTAGCTTTTTAGCAGCTCTATCGTATTTATCTATGGTTTTCTTTCCCCTTGGTTGATGGCAGTACATGTGTGCTTGAGAGAAACCATTTATTTATTCTAAAAATAATGCCCAAGGGTGTTCAATTCCTGCAGGTTTCTCTGAGGCCTCTAGATTCCATTTTATAAAAAACATGTCTAACCCTGGTGATCTTCCTGAACACTTGGAGAATAGTCAACCAGTGGATGCAGAGAGATTACACAGGGAGCACAGAAAGATAAGTTTTGATTTTTACACTTGCAAAGGTAGTATTTTCCCTTTAGGAGAATAAGACTTCAAACCAAACTTCCATACCTGATAATTTTTTAAAAAGCAAGAAAAATTTGACTAAGCCTTTCATCAAATATCAAAGAATTAAACCAAATTATTTTTAGTTATATATATATAAAAATTTTTGCTGCACAGTTAAAGGCCAATTTTATACATCAGCTAATTAATGCTTTGCCATCTCTTGTGTATTTGATACTTATCATGCATTATTCACATATTATAGATCTTGGAGTATAATCTCACAGTTTTATATTATAAAGCTTTAGAATTTTTATGTTTGCTTCTTTGGGATATAGATATTCAAAACTAGGAGATACAGGATATGAGGGCCTTGTTGAGAAAGCAGCTGTATTTTATGTTTTCTTTTTTGCTCACTTGTTTTCCTTTTCTCAGTAAAAATATTAATATAAGAAAATACCAAAAATGTCCAAGAAGGAATCTTTTTAAAATCTTTTTCAACCCTACCATTAGAAAATGAGCCCATACGAACTTCAAAATGATATTATACATAATATTTTATAATGACTTTATTTATATAAAATAAGAATAACGTACTTTCATTTAATGTGATTTCTTTTAAGAAATGATTTTTAATAACCACAGATATTTCATCCTGTAGCTATGTCATGGCCTAACCCCCTACTGGGATAGTATAACGTCGGTAAGGGAAAGGGTCTGAAGCAGACATCCTTTTATTTGTTGTGGCCATGGTCAAGTTACTTATCCATTCCAATCCTCATTCTTCTCACTTATAAAATGATAGTAACAATAGTAATAGTTTTATGTCAGTTAATGTAAAGATTTTAATAGGTATTGCAGATAGTACTTAAAACATAGCTTTCAGAAGCTCTAATAATAAATATAATAATAATTATATCTAGTAAAAATAGAATTATAATGAATATTATTAAAGCATTATTATCTAGGCATTGTTTATTATTAAAGCATTGCTATCTATAATTCTATTATTCTAATTTATAATTCTGTTATTTGACCTAGCACATCATAAATTCTCAGATATTCATTATTATTGCTTATATTATTTTCGCCTTTTTCATGTTACAGTATTGTGATGAATATCTTTTAATAAAAGTCATTTGCTCTTAATCACTTCCTTAAGGTAGATTTTTACAAGTAGAATCATATTTTAAGATATTGCTAAATCATCCCCCATAGAGGCTTACTATTGCACATAGAATTGCAAGAGGGGCAACTGCTGCACAGTGAGTGATGTTTCTGGAAGGAAATGACAACTGCCCATGAGACAGTTTTTGCAGTTCTTCAGAATCTTTGAATATTGAACAACTGGGATATATGCAACTTACTCTTCCTTTTCATTATTTATATACTCTTAAGGCAAAGTTATGAAAAATTAAAATCTTGTTTACCTTGAGTGTGTCTGATTTTGTTTGAGAAGGTATTTTTATTAATAGGAAAGTTAGCACTTGACTACATTGTTAAGGTGTTTTCTCCCATTGAAACTAATATTTTCTCTTTTTCAAGGAAAAAGCAGCAAACCTTGGGAGCAGTCAGCCCTCTAGAAGCCATGCTGGTGGGAAAACCCTGGCCACAAAGGTCAGTCAATTCCTGAACATGGGAAGACCCCTATTCTATCCTACTCTACAGGGGTATCCCCAGTGGGTGGGGCCTGTAAAAGAGGCAAACAGTGCCCATTTATTACTGACATTTTCAAACAAAGTTTCATTTCTCTGTTGGAGACAAGAATGTAATTTCTCTGTTGAGGGTGTGGGAAGGGATAGGACTCTTTCTGTGTGGCACAGGATGATTAAGAACTTGTGGGTTCAAGCTATCCTGGTTTAGACTCCCCAGTAGTTGGGACTGCAGGCATGTACCACAGTGTCCGTCTATATAATTTCTTCACAATGATTAGAGGTTTAAAATTTAGTGAAACCATTGGCTATAATTGTTCCTGGCATATAATAATAAGCATTTAATAGATATCATCATAAATATCTACTGATACTTTTGTGTATAGTGCAAGTACACATAATTGGCCTTTTCCTTCTTCAGAAAATAAAATCCCCGTCATGAGCATGAACCCCACTAGGATCTCTGCTAAAGCTCTATGTAATTCTTATGTAATCCCTTCACCACCTTAGTATTGTCATTCCCTTATACCTAAGGAAACCAGGGCTGAAAGAGGCTAAATAAACTCAACAGGGTCACAAAACAAATAAAATTAGATTTCAAGCCTGGGTTTCCTGTTCATACAAGGTCCTTAGCATAGCTAGACCCCATAAGCTCTGGCTGAGCTTTTTATTTGTATATAAAACTTCAAAGCTTTGCAGCTTATTTTTAAAAATCATTGATACATACTTTTCAAGATAAAGAACTATAATTTTATCTAGTCATTTTTAATGAAATGATTGTGTTCCGTCTTCCAGGGTATCCAAGTTTATCTAAAAACCTTAATATATTTCAGGATTATCTATACAACTATTTCAAATAGCATTTTTTCCTGTAAAACTGGAAGTCTGTGAGCTTTTTCACTAATGTCATTTGTTTGATAAAGAGTTAATATTTTAGTATCTCCCAGAAGTGAGAAGAGGCTGCGTAAACCTGGGCTGAGCATAGTAACACCACCCTAATTTGAGGTATTGAGTGTGTTTTATAAACCTTTTCAATTCTCCCTACCAGCAAGAAAAAGAATAAAAATCATTGAAAGATAATGAACTTTAAATACAGGGGGGTAAATTAATGTTTGGGACCAACATAAATCCCTACTCAGGTCTGCTGTCTTTTGCCATTCTGTTACTGCTATTGGTGACTCTAGAGCATTAATGACCATTGAGTGAGAGATTGTCCATTCATCCAAACAAACTTGAGTTTGAATTTCCTCTTTACCATTTATTTATTAAGTGTCACCGAGCCCTAGTTTCCTCATCAGAATGGCATAAAAACTTCTCTTGTCACAGTTGTTGTGAAACTGAAATGAAATAAAATATATAAAACACTGTGCCCTGGGCCTGACAATTGATAGGTGCTGGGAAAATATGTCTCTGATGTGATTCTTCTTATCCTCATTTTCTGTTGTTTGGAGGTCTCCAACTAGAAAAGATTTTCTAAACATGTCTGATCTTTTATGGTGTTAGGATTAATATTTACCTTATCACTCAATTACACCTCTAAAAATGAAAAAGCTCATTAGCAAAACCCACATGAAATGATATTTGGTGAAATCATTTGTAAATGGTTTCCAGGATTGCTATTACCTAAACTTTGGGAGGGTTGGTATATCGTGGGAAAACAAACTTAGTTTTTCCTTGAAAAGTCTTAGGAGTTAAAGGCATAAGAATCAGATCCTTTTCTACCACTTTCTTTCTACCAGGAAGTTCTCTTCCAATCTTTTGGGGGTAGGATGATTATAAAAATATGGCTCACCCCTTCAGACTTGTTCTGTCTTAAGAAGGTGAGGAAGGCAGCATAGCTGGCCACATGTTTGTTGTTTTAGTATTTAAAAGCGAACTTGAAGTTCTTTCCTTGACTTCTTTCCCACCCCTGTTCTTGTCGCTCAGTGTTGCTCTTTCTCACTGTTTTTCTAACTCACTTTCCTCCTTCACCAGTTTCCTGAATGGTAGGTTTCTTAGGGTTTGTAATTCTTCCCACCCACTTTTCTCATGTTCTTAACACTCAGAGTTGTAGAAGAAAAACTACAGATGCTTGCCTGTTTTTTCTTTTGATGTCAGATTGGAAAGACTATCAATATCTCTTTAAAAATTGTCATTCCTAGCCCTCACTAAAAAAAACTGGAGATATTGGCATGCGTGATAACTTGAAGTCTTTTAATTATACAATTGCCATAACACATACCCAGGCAAAGTAGCATTCTCCTAAAACATTCAGAAAAGTCATGAGCAAATGGTAGATACAATTGACAATTAGCATTAGTAATGTTTTTCTTCATTCTGGACATATTTAACCTGAAAAATAAAATACGTGCTAATTTTATAGTTATTGAGAAAACTTTAACATCTGTCTTTAAAAATACCTATTTTGAAGCTTATGTGCAAGCTGTGTGTTTGTTATAGGATTATTTCTGCTTATTGCCAAATTGTTAAATGAGAAGTCTTACAAAAAAAAAGTAATTATGTCCATAATAATACCCCTTTTGCTATGCAGTTCTAGACTTAGGAAATCCAAAGTTCTTGAGTGGTATAGACAACAGAATTATTATTGTAAAATGTTGAGTGCTTAAATTTCTTTTTTTTTCTTTTTGGTAAATAAGGAAAGAATGCTAATGAGGCTTCAGAAATTATCTAAGCTTTTACTAAAGTCAACATGAAAATAATTGTGATCAATAATTAGTCATAGGATTTCATTGCTGGAAAATTTTTCAGACAACTTCTATTTTGACAATCAACATAGATTCTTCTGAAACCAAGATTGCATAAGGAACGTCTCCATAGACTGTACGGTTTATATGTATTAGTTAAAGTTGTTTGTTCCAGTTAGAATCAACTAGAGTTTTAAGAATCAGAGTTTAAGACAAAAAAAAAATTCCCAAGGGATAGTGAGTAGTTCATAGGGAAATCTAGGAAAGTCCAACAGAGGGAATCACTGTTCTTCACAGTCAGAAGCAAGGCCCAGCCATGCCACTGGGTTTCTCCTGCTCAACTCTGTTGCCACCATAGCTCAGCACCTAACACATTCAGAACCAGATGCAAGAAGCTCTGCCAGTACCAGTCCTGATGACAAAAGCCTTGTCATAACATTTCTGGTGGAAATTCTCTTCACCTTGCTCACCTCAGACTTCTATGGCTCATACATCTGATTGGCCAACATTAAGTCACATGTCTTCATCCTGCTACAGGGAAATCAGGAGGTTATGAATTTTCTGGATTCTACTCAGGAAAGAAGCATATTGTCAACATGTGGTGAAGATTTCAAATGTGTGCTCAGCTACCAAATGACAGACTTCCACGGCAGAAAGGAACATAGGAGAAATAACTAATTGAAGAAGAAAATCGCCAGTGACACCTTGTTCAGCAATTTTAGGCATTTAAACAGAAGAAGGTACCAACAACTTTTCTCCCAGCCTAGAGAGGAAAAGCTCTACAAAAGAATAAGCAGAGCTTGGGGAAATAGTTCTGTGATTTGGGTCCTCTTCTGCTATAAATAGCTCTGTTAACTTTGGCAACGCAAGTGTCTTCTCAGGCTCTTTTCTCATCCATAATATATATGAGTTAGGGCCTGGAAAGTCACTGTCATTCTGTGTCATAATCACCCCCATAGTGCCCTTAAACCATGTGTAGTTTGTGAGTTGACTCCATGTGTTAGGAAAAAATTTTATTTTAATAATTTTTCATATACTTTAATGTATTATAAAAAAGCAAGTAGCACATCAAACTTTCATTGATATTTTTGCTTATGATAAGGCTAAATTAAAGAATAAAAAGAGTAAATCTATTTTTTAAATTATCTAAACTTATTATAATTATGAAAGATTTTAAATGTTGCATAGGTACAAATACTCAAAGTTTGGGAAATAAGATTCAATCAATAATTTTCATGTTAATGTATATATTGAATAAGGGGGGGGGGTATTAAAATGAAGGCCCTGTCCTTCAGGAAGTCTGGGTGATGCTGAGATCCTATTTTTCTAACAAGCTCCCAGGTAACGCTGGTGCTGCTGACTTGGCAGCCACACCACAAGTAGCAAGGAGGCTGAGCTGCTAAATGTGGGAGTTTAGGCTACCTGTACCTGAGATTACCTAAGTATCAGTTGAACCATCTGTTAAAATGTAGTCTCAAGTCCTGAGCCAAGAATTTCTGATCCACCAGGGTGGATCAAGGCCCAGGGTTTTATATATGTAATAGGCGTCCCCAGGTGTTTCAGCTGCAGGTGATCTGAAAAACCACATTAGGAGAAAGGATAACCGTTAGGGACCATGAAAGCCATAGTTCCTCAGGGAACCGTTAACATTCCCCTTCAACTCCAAGGAAGGAAGCCCTTTTCCATCTGTCTGCCAACATAAGAATCTGGAAAATTCATTTCATAACCATGTGATTACTCATGTGGACTCTTTAGGTGTATAGAAATACCTTCACTGAGGAAGATACAGCTGCCTAACTCTGGGGCCTGTGGGGTCCAGGGCTTGTCCTTATTAGGGACAAGTCACCCCGTACTGTTTTTGTCACAGGAGAAATAAATATCAATGAAAACTAGATGAGCTGAAGTTTTGTGAAAAGATAAGATAATGCTAATGATTAACAAAAAAGAAACTTTAAAGCTATATTTTTATCAAGAATTATAGCAGGGTCTTCTCGGGCAATTATAAAATTTTTAGCGCTGGAAGGCCTCTTATTCATCTGCTTTATTTGACAGAGGTAGAAGAATGATAAAAATAAACAAGATGGCTGTGAGGAATGCATTGAAGGGGAAGTCAGGGGGACCCACTGACCGCTTGGTGGAGTGGTGGCAGGCTGTGTGGAACAATGCTCTACTTTTTTTTTTTTAATCCTGCTGGCTGCCAACTCTGTTTTGGCTGAAGGCAGCACTGAGTCATTGCTCAGCTGTCACTAGCTAGGCCTGAGCTCTTTGTTCCTCAAACACT